AAAAAAAACAAAATCGGTCAAGGTTCGTGCCACCGCATCAGATTACAAGCATTAAAAATGTGAACTATGCATTCTTCGAAAAAGATTAATGCCTCTGGTAAAAGAGCGTTATTATCTATCTATGGTCTGGTTAAAGGAGAAATTGGTTGCTTTTAAGTGGCTTCTTAACATGTGTAGCAACAAGTCATTAAGTTGTCAACAAAATCCTTCAACTTGAAATTTAGATTTCATAACCATATGTGGGTATCACCTTTTAACTCTCTTCTCACAAGAAATAATGACAAAAAGAGTTAAACATTATTATTATTATTTTCAAAAGTAATAGCTTGACTCAAACTATTACTTTTCAGCAGATTTCGTTGATTTAAATCACGATTAAAATCAAAATTTAAATCAACTGAATTTCATTTAAAAAATATCAGTGATTTAAACCGACTTAAAAAATAAAAAAAAAACAGAATTAAATGAAATTATTTTTTTACCTTAAGCTGAATTTAAATCGCAATTAAAATCAAAATTTAAATCAACTGATTTAAAAAAAAATCGTTGATGTAAACCAATAAAATCAATCAAATTTTAAAGAAGTAATTTTTAAAAATTTACTATATATTTTAGTAGAGATATTTTAAACTATTACTTTTCAGCAGAGTTCGTTGATTTAAATCACGATTAAAATCAAAATTTAAATCAACTGAATTTCATTTAAAAAATATCAGTGATTTAAACCAACTGACTTAAAAAAAAAAAAAAACAGAATTAAATGAAATTATTTTTTTACCTTAAGTTGAATTTAAATCGCAATTAAAATCAACTGATTTAAAAAAAAAATCGTTGATGTAAACCAATAAAATTTTAAAGAAGTAATTTTTAAAAATTTACTATATATTTTAGTAGAGATATTTTAAACTATTACTTTTCGGCAGAGTTCGTTGATTTAAATCACGATTAAATTCAAAATTTCATTCATTTCAAAATTCATAAAATCAAAATTTCATTTAAAAAATATTAGTGATTTAAACCAACTGACTTAAAAAAAAAAATCAGATTTAAATGAAATTATTTTTTAAACTTAAGTTGAATTTAAATCGCAATTAAAATCAAAATTTAAATCAACTGATTTTTTTTTAAATGATTGATGTAAATCAATAATAATTTAAAAAAGTATTTTTTAAAAATTTACTATGAATTTTAGTAGAGATATTTAAAAACATTATTGTATATATACTGCTGCGGTAATGAGCTTAAATTGCATTAGTACTTGGTGTGTAATAAGCTAAAGTACTTCTGAAATTATAATTTAAGAATCACATTATTTTTTAGAATGGAAACTAACAACAGAGTGCATTTTCTGATATATATTTTAATGTCTGTAAAAATTAATGAATCAATACGGATTTCTTCTTTAAAAAAATGATTGATCTAAAAAAAATGATTTTTTTGAAGAAAAAATTTTTAAAAATTTACTAGGCATTATAATAGAATTATTTTTAAGTTTTTAATAATTTTCATAGTTTTAAACATTGTTGTAAATACATTGCTTAAGTAATGAGTTTGTATTAACGAAATTACATCAGTAATTGGAGTGTTATAAGTTAGAGTACTTTAGAAATTACTATTTAAAAATCTTGTTATTTTTCAGAATGCAAACTAACAACCTAGTGCATTTTGTTATATATATCTATAAAAATTAAAAAATGTATATGAGTTTTTTCGAAAAAAAAGAATAGAAAAAACATGATGGTAAGGAAAATCCTACCCATCTTTAGTTTTGAAACACTATATTTAAAATTACAATATATTTTAATATTACAAATTTATTTCTTAAAAGTAACCTTATCTTTAAGTAAGATTTTTTTTTTATAGTTAAATTATTCAATACTAAATGTACTAAAAAGGTATGGTATAAATTGTATCAAAGAACACAATTTATTTTGGCACTTACATTAAAAATAAATATATAAATGCGAAATTAATTTCTTGAATTGATTGTTAGCCTCTTATTCAGTACTTAATTTCATTTCGATTCCATTTCCAATTGATTTGAATCGTGTATTTACATATTATGTATTACTAAAAAACAATTTTTAATGGAATAATATTGTTTGAAACGTTTGGTTATGATTTATTTTTAATGATATTAAACTTAAATTTTTGAAGTATCTCTAAAAAAATATCTGATTTATATATCAGAAAAAAAAATCTTATTCAAATCAGATAAGTGGGATTTTTTTTCTCACAAAAATTAGGAACTCTGCTTTTCAGTAAAATAAGAATAAATAAGTGATGGAAACATTTCATAATAAATATGCATGGATGTTATATAATATGCAAGTAATGAGAAGGGGGGGGGAAGAGCTAAAAGATTTTTATAAACACATATTAAACATTGATAAGTTTTTTTTCTTCAATAGATGTCCAGTAATAACATAGTCCCTAAGCAGGACTAGAATGAAATAAATATTTTTTTGCGATTTTGTTTAAAATCGCTTTTGCAACCTAACGTCTTACCATCGGTGCAGTTTTAAATTTATATAAATATCTTCTTTACATATTTAAATACTATGTGTAAAATTCGTATAACTTAGAATGAACAAATTACAGGACTCGTAGTGGGCTAAATTAAAAAAAAAAAAAAAATTGAACAGTATTTTTTAAAAACTCAGGTCATTTTTTGGAACAGTATTCACTTAAAAAGTTTAAATGACAAAACTGAAAAAAAGGTTAATTTGCTGAAGAATAAATAGGAAAGTTTTAACGTTTCCAGCATATAATCAATGGAACATGAAACAACTCATAATAGTTTGAAATCGGAGAAATTTTTTACATAAAGTACTATTGAGTTATAAAAATAACGAGAATCAATTAGTTGACACTCCTTTAAGCTGATATTTAATTAAAACTTATATTCGAGCTTAAGACTTATTTAAACAATTATAAAAAAAGGTTTCAATAATCTCCAAATGACAACAGTGAATATGCCATTTAACATTTTTGTGCAAAAGTAATTTAAGGGATGAACTCTCAATTCAATGAAATTACTAAACTCCACCCTACCAGACACATTACTCCATTTGATACCCCCCCCCCCCNNCCCCCCCCCCCCCGAATTCCTCACCATAAAAATTTGAGTCTACATAAATTTATGTTATTCACATTTTTTTAAAAGGTGATAACAATTAGTATATCTGAATTATTCACATAACTGGCTGATCATCGACGGATTAAAATGATTTTAAGTATTGAACTTACACAAACTTTGACTAAAATAAATAAATAATCTTCTAAGATTTATGAGACAGTCATATGCTGTAAGTTCATAAAAAAAAATTTATGATAAGCCACATTTTCCCTTTTAAGCAGATCGATTTCGATGAAAAATATTCAGATTTCCATGTAGGCAATATATTTTGTCTTATAAATTGGAAACTTCAGACACTTAAAGCACCTATCTGAAAATATAGTAAGCAACAGTTTGATGTAAAAATTCACCTTTTGAAAAGTGTAGCTAATCCGTCAACAGTCTTTCAGTTGTTCTTCGAGGAATAGACCTTGCTTTCTACAAAATGGTATGTCACATCAAGCCAAGCAATGCTAATTTTGTGCACAGTCTTATACACCTTCAAAGCAGTTTCAACAATAATAAAACAGTAAATTAATATCGATTTTTTAAGCATTTACAACCCAAAACGATAAAATTTTTGAAACAAAATTTCGTTACTTTAAAATGATATATCCTCCAATGGCTAATTACTATTACACAAAAAAATTTATCATATAATGTATGCAATTTTTTAATTATTTTGTTTTCCCATTTATTAACCAACATTAAAATTTAATATCAATTAAAATTTAATTATAATTTAAAGCTACCTCAATTTTTCAACAAAAATTAATTTTTTAGTTAGACTAGAACTACTTTGAAGAAAACCTTTAGCTTACCTTTTGGGAAGAGTTAATATCCATGACAATCAAGACTTTTCTAACATTTAGAAAGAAAATAATGATGAATAATTAAGCATATTTTACTCTTGTCAAAAATCAGTTCCCATGAAATGATTTTACTACCATTTTTTTTTTTTCTTCTTCAGGCATAAAGTTAATTGGAGCAACATTTATACTTCCACATACATTTTTTAGATTTTACTGATTTCAAATCTGAAAAACTACAATATTTTTGTGGTTTACAACTACTTTCAAAATTTAATAACTACTACTAAGGAGATAAAATATTTATTCATTCATGTTTACATAAGCCAGTTTGATATTCTAAAACTTTTTTTTTTAAAATTTGTTCAATTAACCTTAAACTTTCAAGCCTTTTCAAAAGCTAGTATTAGATTTAAAAAACTTAAGGAAATTATCAAGTACTTGCAATTTTGTTGAGTGTTAAATGCTCTTTTTCCTCTAAAAAATTATGCATATCGAAAATATGTACCCTTCCTTTGAAATAACATCTATATTTCACAAGGGTACATTTGCATAAGAAAGTGTGACTAAAGTGATAAATTATCTATTATTCGAAATGGCTAGTTTAAATATTAGTTATACGTAATTCATGTTAACTTTCAGACACAGCTATAGAGGCATTTTCATTGCCTCCATTGATGGACATGCAAAGATTTGTACCCATTAAATTTAAAAAAATTAGTTGCATTAGAACCTTGTTTCTTTACTAAACTGACGTTAAAAGCTGTTGTCAGGATTCGCTACTAACTGCAGTATTTCTGTATCGCGTCCCTCACTATGCTACTTTTTTTTTAAAAAAAAGTAGTACACTATACTACAAACTATGAAAAAAGTAGCAACTACAGTAGTTTCTTTACTTGTAGTGTGTTGCTTCCAAATACTGACTGATTTTGAAATTAATATATATTTTATTTAATATGTTTTAAAAACACAAAAAATCATATTTTCCTATTTATTTTAAGCAAAGTTTTTATGCATTAAAAGAAAAGAAAACTCACAGAATACTGTAGACAAATAAATAAAAAAAAACTAAGTCCAGTATATATATATTTATTTCCATACAAGCTCGCTCAATTTTAACTACAATTCTTTTCAAAAAAAGATAAAACTAAGACAAAAACAAGTAAAATACTTCATCGAATTAATCAGCATATAATTTTTAAAAACAAATCTATTTATAAAGCTCTTGAATACATATGAGCTATAAAAATTTATGTTCCTAAATTTTGTCTCAATATCAACATTACACACGTATTTGCATTAAAATAGAATGTGCAAAAATAAGGCAATTAAATGCACAGAATGAAATCCAACATTACAAAATAAAAATAGAGCAAAACTATTTCGTATAAAAGAGTCCTACGCAACTGCAACTAAAAAGTGACTAGTCCCCAAATTTAATAAATATAATTTTTATCCATTGCTTTTGCGTTAGAAAAAGACACATATACAAACAGATTTTAAAACTATGCAAAAATCACAAACAAAATTAATTTAACAACAGTAATTTAAATAACAAAAACTAAAAATATTTCAAAAGGTCAACATTTTTTTTTTGTAATAATCCTTAACCTTTCCAGGGAAAAAAATATTCAGGTTACAGATATGTCTATACTACAACTAGAACACACAATCTTTAATACAACATTTTTTTTTAATTAAAACTTTCATTTTACTTAAGTACTTTACTATTTCCACGAGCTCAGACAGAAATTTCATATTTAGATCGTACATATATACAGAACAGTAACAAGACTAAGGTTTCATCAAGGTTAATCAATAACGAACTTTTTTAAACTCTCAAAATATATTTAAAAAATTACAAACCAATTTTTTACAAGCCATAGAAAATATTTTTGCTTTGAGAGGAGGAATTGGCATTTGGTGAAAAGCACATAATTAGAAAAGAAGTTATTTAAATGATTTGTCTATACAAAAAAGCTAATCCCTCCAATATACGAAATCAGCAATATATTCAAGGGAGAAAATATAGCAGAGTACTTTCCCGTTCAAGAACTAGTTTTTTTCAGTTTCTTTTTTAATCTCTCTATCACTCCAATGAAATCCATACAAAACATCAGTTGCTGAATCAACTTGAGAAAAAAAAATCAATGAGCTGCAAGACAAATGTTGGGAAAATGTCACAAGCAACCTATCTTTCAAACAAAGCAATAACTTTACACCTAATTAATGTCATCTTTGGTTCCTTTCTTCTTCTTTTTTTCTGAATGATGTAAACGTTGCACCCTTATATTTTTTTCCATTCAACGATCTTCAGGACGGGCTTAGAATGCCTCATATCAATTTATATTTCAAAGAGAAAGAACAGAAGAAAGTTACAGTTATAAAGAAAGAATGAGTTCAAATCACACCACAGAAATCCAAGATTATTTCATACTTAACGACAGAAGGAAAAAATTTACAAGTAATATTGTAATAAATGCACAAATAGACTGATGAAGATATTTTGGTCAAAATTATTGACCGCTGGGGAGGGTTGCAATGGATTTCTTTCCTTTGTTTTTGACCAGTATGGGGGATAAGAAAGGGAATGTACCACTTCCTGCAGCATTGAGAAAGTGCTGTATGCAATCCATTTGATGCAGAAGTTTGGTAGAGGCAATACAATCCATTTGAGTACACTGGAATATGCAACAAAAATTAATTTCATGTTGAAATATAACAAAATAGTTTCAAAGCAGTTGGTATTTCATAACATAAAAACTTTAACCCAGTAATTGTCAGGCTATTTTGGTACATGTGCAAAACAATCAGAAACAAAGTGAAAAACTCTGAATATTACAATATTCAATTGATATTGTAATAATAAAAATATTGATATCAATAAAAAAATTGATATCAAGATATCAATTAACATACCATGTAAGTTTTGTATTTAAAATAATATTTTGAAATAAGATTTCTAATTAAATTACCGACCAATGAAGAATACCACACATTAAAAGAAAAATCCTAAACGTGTAAGTACGAATTGAGACATAGGATTTTTAAATAACGTGAGGATGAATTGCAACGTGTAACTTTTAAATTATGTCAATACAAAAATCGATGTGTGATATGCAAACCATGCAAATAAAAATCGCGATATTCAACATGGCAAAAATCCACTGAATCAAATTGGATTTCTACCCATTGGCCGAAGAATTGGCTGTATGTACCATCTCGTTAAAAGGAATGAGCGAAAGATTCAAAATTTGAAATTTTAGATTGCGGAATCCTGCGGAAATTTCATTGGATATTAAGTTTTTGATTAGCGAAAGTCTGAGAATAAATGGTCTCGAGAAATGCTGAGTTCCACAATATTCCCAGAAAAATCGCATGCTATTTAGACCCTTAAGGATAATACGAAAAACCTGGAATACAATCACCCCTGTTACACCTCTATCGCAATCTTTGCTTTTCCTAAACTGCATAGTCTTCAAAGAGATCAAAGGTTTTTCTATTCAATCGGCAACCATGGGAGAGTCATGTAGCATTCTAGTTTAACAGGGTTATAACGAAGCAAAGTATAACTAAGTTGATGATATTTCAACTGTTTGGCAATACATTTTTCTTTACAATTCTATGTAGCATGAATCCGAAATTTCGACACTAACTAGCATAATTTATCTCTATTTTTTTTTAAACAAACCAAAATATTTAAAGTTGTACTTAGTGACATAACTATATTTAAAAACTCAAAAAGTCTGGCACTAAGTAAGTAATTTAGTAATAAAATTTCCTAAATAAATAAACTATTTAATTTAATATGCATAGTCAAAGTGTTCTTTTTAAAAGGTTCTTATTTGTATCTTTACAAAAGATAACTTGTCTGATCTTTAAGGAATTTCGTCCACAACTCTGACTACCATGACAATGTGAAACTGCATGATTTTTATTATGTTATTCATGAAAAATGCTTATATATATTAACAATGAGTGACAATTTATTGGAAAAGGTTATCACTTTGTTAAAAATAGTTAATTTTATTTCTTTCGTAAATAGTTTTGTCCAAAAATCCACAAGTATGTAAGAGTCAAGAAATCAAATACCAAACAGAGAAGTTAATTAATCCAATTGTTCCCAAGCTTTATAAATGTACAAACATATACAGTGGTGGAAAAAAAAAAAGCTTGAGACCGCTTGAAAACTTTTTTGTTTTGTAAATAAAAATTAAGAAAAATATGAAATTTCTACTATATAATAAAATATGCTCATTTCATATTTTCAATTTATAATGTTTAAATATTTATGTCATGGCGAAAGACCGAAATCAGTGGTTGTTGACTTTCACCGGTGAATGTCGACAAACACCAAATACGTCGGTGAAAGATAGAATATTTCATTACATTCTTGTACATTCGGACCCTCACCGGTGTATGTCAACAATCACAGATATGCTTTGGTGAATGTCCGAAATATTTATTACATTCGATTTGATATGAATTTATTCGTGGATATAATTACATTTATTCGATATTTTAACCATACACTGATGTTTTTTAAAGGTCAAGTGCCATTGCCCGGTATGTATTTGCTCGATACTCCAAACACTGATGTTTCTTCTTATCTATCGTCAGTAAGTATTAAAATATAGAATAAATATAAATATATCAAATAAATATAATAATTTTTAACGAATAAATTAATATAAAATTGGATATAACAAATATTTTGGACATTCACCAAAGCGAATATGTGATTGTTGACATTCAAAAGTGAGAGTCAGAAATAAGGGTATTTAGCAAATATTTCGGACATACACGAAGCGACTACGTGAATGTTTACATTCACAGGTGAACGTTGACATTCTCCAGATTTCGGTGTTTCACCGTAACATTTATATACATAAAATAATTTTAAAAAAAAGTCTAAGATTAGAAAATAAAAATGCTTCTAAAACATAGTTTCATCAAATTACGTTTTTTGTCAAGTAACTAATGCATCATTTTGACTTAACTTCCAAAAGATGGTTTGGAAAGAACTTTACAATGAAGGTAATTTCAACCATAACTCTGTCTTATTTATTTCAACTTACAAATTGATTTTTATTGCTTTTTATTCGCATATAATTACTAACTAAAGCCTTATGAGTTTTTACTGAGTTTATAAAACTTGTTGCAGGAAACTGTTTTTTCATACTGTTCTCTGATAACCTTTTAGTTGTAGACAAAGATTTATGGATCGAAGCAATATCTTGCAAAAATATCAAAGTTTGGTTCATTGGTGTCGTCGAACAAATAAAGTTGTAGATGGTGAAGACAATTTCAGTTTTACCTCTCACGTTGGAACCAGTTTACATCACATCCTTGAGTTTGTTTCTTATTTCAAAACATGCCATTAATATCTTGACCTAACTGGCTTTTTTCCCCCCCTTAACCTACTGGTAATATCTTGACATACCCGATCAATTTTTTTTTTTTTTAAATTTCTACCACAAGTTTATTCCATAAATTAAGTTTAAAAACATTATGTTTTACCAACTATAGTTCCTGTTGAATGTGTCATTTTAGCAGGCATTAGTTCTTTTTTTAAATTTACAATCTTTTTAAAAAAATGATTGCAGTTTTTTTAAAACATGTTGTATTGTTCTAGATATAAATGGAAGTTCCAGTAAGTACGTAATTACTGCTGAAATTACATATTTTCTAAACAATGCTTTAACGCTGCGACATTGACTGTGAAAATCTAGTTTTGAGGAACATCTGCTCCTACTTTTATTCTTTTATTAAAATATAGACAGCAGTGTTAGACCTTCAGATTACAAGAGTAATTTGTTGTTCAGTAAAGCCTCACTCTATATTATCATAAATTTTTTATATTTACATCAATTAAATGTTTAAGAGAACAAGTTTGTTAATATAAGTTTATTATAACATAACACATTTGGTTGACTGCCTTCTAGATTGTTTTTAAATTTCAAAAAATTGATCTCAAGACTATTACCCAGATATTAACGTTAGTGGATTTAAATTAAATTTCTTATACACAGCAGAAAAAATTATTTCACTTTTTTCTATTTTATTAATATATTCTTAAATTACAATTCCAAAGCATGACATACTTTTTGCAATAATCATATTTACACAAACAATTATAAGGTAGTTTAACTCTTCTCCATCACTATGCTCAAAGGATGTAGTTTTGATAAAATTACAACGGTTTCGTTTCAAGAGTTTCTCCCACACTATGGCATAAACATTTCAGTACATTTGAGGGGTAATGTGTCATACACAACCAATAATTTTTTATTCCAAAGTAGCAATATTTTTTTGTCAATATTATACAGGTATAAGAAGAAAAAAACAATGAAAACGACAATATAAATACCCTTCATCTTTAAAAATATATATTTCTTTGAACTTACAATGACTTATGTGATATTACTTGAGTCTACTGTAGATACAAGGTCTGGCTATTAATTTCCAGGACTGAGGTAACTGTAGGAGAAAGAAAAGCCGGAATATGGCGCTAATGATTGCATATTGAAGAGTGTTTTCTTGCGCATGTGCAGTGCAATCGGCGCCATTCTGAAGTGAGTGGTTCTCGTGGAAAGGCGCATTAAAACGGAGCTCTTAAATTCCTGTTGTCGAAGTGAAATGGAGCAAAGAATTAACATTAAATTTTGCTTCAAATTGGGCAAGACAGCTGCAGAAACCTACAAATTGTTAAAACAAGTTTATGGCAAGGAAGCATTATCTCGCTCAAGAACTTTTGAATGGGTTAAACGCTTTTGAACGCGAAAGCGTGGAAGATGATCCGAACACAGTTCGCACGTGAGCCGGAAGCAATTGAAAAAGTTTGCGTCCACACATTGCGTTTGCCTGTGAGGCGATTCTTAGCTCAGCATGGTGTCGTTGAGTCGCAGCATCCACCATACTCGCCAGACCTAGCACACACTTTTTCCTGTTTCTTAAGCAGAAAAATTCACTGAAAGAAACAAGATTTCAGGATGTCGAAGCCTTCACGAAGACTGAAACGTCACTAATAAAGAGCATTCCAAAAGAGGACTTTAAAACTTCTTTCCGAAATTTGTACAGCCGAGCACAGACGTGTATTACGGCTGATGGGGATTACTTCGAATAATATTAAATGGCTATGTGTTTAATTTTTTTTTCTTCTGAGTTATTCCATGAGTCCTGGAAATTAATAGCCAGACCTTGTAGAATTTTCTTATACTAAAAATATCCAATTACATTTCAGCAATATAACTTTATTAAATAATGAATAAAAAAAAACTAATTTTATAATATAAAATATATTAAATAAAACAGCACAAACATTGTAGCTATATATATTTAACTCCTGATAATAACTTTAAATTACCTGAATATTTGGCCAAATGAAAATTACACTGATAGTGAAATGAGGCTGTTGTAATGAGTCATGTTACGTTTCAAAATATCAGCACAAGGCCCAAGGATGCGCTCAAATCTTGCACGGTCAAGCTTGATGCATTTCAGAGGACCCTTTGCTTTAACTGTAGCAGCCCTTGGCCGATCTAAAAGTAGAGCTATTTCTCCTGAAAAACAAATTGATAATATTAACAAACGATTCAAAAAACAAAAATCTGAATTGTGTTACTTTTAAAACAGAAATGTTACTATGCATTACAGACAAGGATGCCAACTTGCAGAAATACCTTTTTGTTTTAGCACTTTATTTTACAGTAATAATAATGACAATTTTGCAAAGTACTTTTGGTAGTATCATTAGCATCAATACAAAAATGAATAGATATATAGATTAGTATTGCCTCTGAGTTAGTTCTTTGCGAATGAATCCTCCTACTTCTAATAATTAAGTAGTGGAATAATGAGTTGAAAAAATTAAGTCACTAAGAAGCGTTCCACTCAATTTGCGAAAAAAAAAATTCCCTGATTTTCCAGGTACAGTGGAACCCGCTTAAAAAGTTCCCTTTTAAGAAGTTTTCCCGCGTAAGAAGTTATTTTTTAAAAAAACCAATTACCATAATGTTAAATTTACTTTTATAAGAAGTTTTTTTCCCGTTTAAGAAGTTTCCACTCCTAATTTCAATTTTTTAAAATGTCTTATTTAGTTTTAACTTGCCCTTACAAACACATGTATGGGTACTGACCACTGACCTTCATCACTCCTTTGTTACAAAGAAAGGTGACTTATCAGGAACAGGTGTGAGCAAAGGAATGTGAACCTTTAGATGAACTATGAAACTGATAAGAATGTAGGGAATAGCTTTGTCATTGTGTTCACCTTAAATGAATAGCCTGGTGACTCACGAACTTCACTGCTGTCCACACCCATTCAATAACTGAAGAGAAAGATACATCTAAACATTTAGCAGCATTTCGTTGAAAATTTTCTTAGTGTAGGCGCTTATGTTATGTTAAAAATCATCGTAAAAAGTTTGATTTTTGTGGAAAATGTCCTGTAAAGGCATTAAGCGTAAAGCTCTATCTATTGATGACAAAGTAAAAATTTTAAAAGCTGTTGACAGCTATCCTCAATTAACACGAGTTCAAATAGCAAAAAATTTAGATCTTCCTGTTACTACGTTAAATGGCATTATTGCTAAGAAAGACATCATCTTAAACTCTTCTTGTTCCGGTGCATCCCAGAAAGTAAAAAAAGTGAAGAAAGGAAAATACGAAAATATTGAAGAGAAACTGATGATATGGTTTAAACAAGCAAGATCCGCCAACATACCTGTCAACGGAACTCTTCTTAGAGGAAAAGCATTAGAGATTGCGGAGAAATTGAATGTTGATTTTACGCCTTCCAATGGATGGATTGATCGGATGAAAAAAAGAGCTGGTCTAGTTTATAAAACAATTAAAGGAGATTGTAACAGCGTTGATTTACAAGAAGCTGAAGAATGGAAAGCTAAATTACCTGAAATTATTTCAGGGTATCAACCAAAGAACATTTTTAACATGGATGAATGTGGACTGTTTTTCAATCTTTTACCAGATAAAACTTTTGCCTTTAAAGGTGAACCCTGTCATGGCGGAAAAAACAGTAAAGAACGTTTGACAATTTTAGTTGGGGCCAGTATGAATGGTATAGAAAAATTACCGATTTTAGTTATCGGTAAATCGAAAAAACCAAGATGCTTTCGAAATGTTAAGTCACTGCCTTGTGATTATGACAGTAATCAAAAATCCTGGATGACAATTAAAATTTTTGAAACGTATTTGAAAAAATTAGACAGTAAGATGCGAAAAGAAAAACGAAACATCATAATCTTCGTAGACAACTGCGCTGCTCATTCCAAGGAGAATAAGTACACTAACATCAAGTTGCAGTTCTTACCACCAAATTCTACTTCTGTTCTACAACCAATGGATCAGGGAGTTATTAAGGTATTTAAGCAGCATTATAAAATGCGACTTGTGAAACGGATGCTGGAAGGACTTGAAAATACTGGAGAGCTAAAAAAAGTCAATATGTTAGAAGCGATTGAGTTAATTGTATCAGCATGGGAATTAATAACACCATCTGCCATTGCTAACTGTTTTCGGAAAGCTGGATTCTCTGACGGAGATACAACTGAAGAATATCTCTTAGAAGCTGAATATGAAATATCAGATGAAGACGAAGAAACAAACGTAAATTTTGTTAATGATTGGAAGTCATTCAAAAATAAACTTAATTTCACAGCATCGTTTGAAGAATATGTATCCGTTGACGACGAAATTTTACCTTGTGATATGCTGACATTAGAGGATATTTGTGATGTTACAAATGATACAGAAGAATTCAGTGAAACTGAAGAAGATATTGCTAAACCACCTAGCTTTTCTGATGCCAGGAAAGGGCTGGATACTTTTAGGAAATTTATTTACACTGTTGAAAATGTACCCCCGGAAATGTTTAAATTTTTACAGCAGTTGGACAATTTTCACTTAAAGGTAGGTGAGAAAAGACAAAAACAAACCACTTTACACGATTTTTTCTCACAGAAATCTAGTCAATTATTGTAACAACGTATATTACATTGTATGAAACAAAAAATAAAGTAGGTTACTTTGTTTTTATTTATTAGCAATTTTTTTTCTAAATGAATATTAAAATTCAATATTTATTTCATTAGGCTGAGAATTTAATATAAGTTACACAATTTCAAATTTTTTAGTTTTTTATTAATGCGTTTTTAAGTTTCACCGTTTAATAAGTCGTTTCTTTCCACTCCCTTGAAAAACTTCTTAAACGGGTTCTACTGTATATCAAGAAAATTTCAATGAAAATTGGGACGATATTTGCATCAGAAAACTTTGATTCTTTTATTTGTTATGTGAAATATTAGATTTTCTGAGCAAAAAAATATTATATGAGGAAACATTTCAGTTTGACTAAAATTTAAAATTTTAATAACAAATAATTGTAATAGATGTAAGAATTATTTAACTCAAATCTCAACAACAGATTACCGTAACTGAAAATTTTAAGACTGGCTATTTTCCAGGTATGATACAGGAACATTCCAGTTTTTTTTTTTTTTTTTTTTAAAAAAAATAACAACTTTCTCTGACTATTCCCCGATTTTTGGAGTTTAAATAAAATTCCAGGTTTTCCCCCTGTTCTCCCTGACCAAGATAATTTTTCGGGAAAGAAATTTTATAGATTTAAAAATTAATAATTCAAATACTTCAAACTTGCGAAGTAATGAAGCATCCGTAAAACCTTATATTGAACAAATAACTCATTCATTCTTTCATTTACATCAATTTAGCATATTTGAAAAGAATTAATCATTTCTTTTATGGTCTCTTTCATGCTCAGGTCTCATTCATATTATTTAGCAAAATTTGCATTTTTTTAACCCCTTCGCAAATAAACTTTTCAAGCATAGAAAATATTCTAGTCAGATTTCAAACAGAAAAATAAGGGAAATTTTAAATCAAAAAATATATTGATAAAATTAACAACAATGAGGAATGTCATTAAAATGAAAGTTAGTTTTAATTATTCATTTTTAACTTAAAAAGATCCTATTGTAAGACTTAGCTTGAAAATTTTTTTTCAGAAACACAAAAATATTATAAAGGAGGCATCTATTATGTACATTGCACATTAAAAATAAATAAATAAGAAATGAGAGCAAACATTTTCATAACTTTTATTCTAATGTCAGATTTTCACATACTAAAATACAGTTTGAGGACAAAATCTTAAATATGCTAATTAATTTGTGCAAACAATACTTTAATTACGAATTCAGGCAAAAAAAAAAAAAANAAAAAAAAAAAAAAAAAAAAAAAAAAAAAAAAAAAAAAAAAAAAAAAAAAAACGTATTTTCTCAGAATAAACAAAAATTATTTTTAATAAATTTGTATTTTTGACTATCAAAATATGGAGGGGGGAGCTGCATTCGAAAACTAAACTAGGGTTCCAATAGTTAAAGCAAGAGAGAGCGAAAGTTTGGACCCTTTAATATTAATTTCATATAATGTGTATTTCTCGGTATTAAAAGAAATTATACAGAAAACATTTCATTTCTCAACAGCTATTTGACCAATTCCCCTCAAATTTTGGATTTTATTATTTACAATTACATAGATTTAATTCGAGTAAAAATTTTTGCGCCTTATGTTTCAATTTTCTTTAATACCATAAGTAAAATAAATAATATATTAAAATAAAGTATTTTTTTACTTGGAATTATTTTCAAATGAACAAGTTTTACAATTATTTTTTGGATTAGTTTTATCAGTTCTGCAAAAAGTGACATTAGCATTAAGTGAGTCAAACTTTCTCTTATTTTTCATTCGCAACTATTGGAAACATAGCTTCCAGATTGTGGCTACCCTCATATTTCGAGGGTATCCAAATCAGTTGAAATAATGTATGTTTATTCCAACAAAGTATAGCGCGGCTTTGAGGAGAACTCCTCCAGACAAAAATCCTGAGGCTGTCAGCTGCTATGGTTACAAGCAAGAGCACATTTCTAATGGAGGTGCAATGAAGGCGTCGATCGGTTTACTCACACTGACCTATGCAAAGATCAAGACAAAACTATACACCCCTATTCAAAGTGACTTTTCTTTGTAACCATGGTACCCGCCACGACGAGAGACTGATGCCTGGAGGGTTCTCCTGAGAGCAGCACTATACTTATAGTAAGTAGTTATTGTTTACATAATTTATGAATCCCAGAACTCGAACATCCGATAATTAGATCAAAAGATATGAAGCTTCTTTTCTTTTTGCACTCAGTACAATGAAAACTTTTGTCATACATTATTTTTCGCTGTTTAATGAGAAACACATAAAAGATTTTGGCTATATAATGTTTATAGAAATGTAGAAGGCAAAGTACTTAATTCCCAGATTATCTTTAACAAAACAAATGAATTGATGTGATCATAATGATTAAAAAAATTACAACTTACCAAAGTAATCAGATGGACCTAAATGTCCTACTTCAACTTGCGGCTCATCTTCAGCTCGCCGTTGAAGTACAACTGCAGTACCCTTTGACAAATAATAAATACGAATAAATTATTACAATTTATTGAAAACATTATGTTAAGATGTGAGCAATTAGTTTTATCACTTAAATTTAGAAATAGAAATAAATGCAAACCACTTATTTCTCATTATTTATTCCTTGAAGCCTAACAGAAGTTATTTATATTTGTTATTAATTCTTAAAAAAATATTTCCACTTGACATTGAAGTTAATATAAGTAATGGGTATGGAAATAAGTTAATGAGTAAGAAATAATCAAAACAAATTAAATATTTTGGTGGATAGCAGAATACAGATGTAATGCAAACTTTTTTGCAGCTATTTATAGTTCATCTACATTAAATGTGAGAGTCACTTCCGGCTCAGTGTTTGAAACATTGGCTTATATTGAAATACTAAAAGCTAAAGTTTTTTTTTACATGAATGATTGATTGGGGCACATTTTACAATGATTACTAAATCAATATTTCATATAAAAATATTTTGAAAAACTTAATAGACTAACAATTTTTTAAACATAAATAAAATAAAAAGAGGAAAAAATTGTTTTTAGAAATTCATTTACTGATTCAACAAAAAGTTAGCATCAGAAATTTTATACATAAAAATTTGTTCTTATTCAATTATTAACTAAAAAAAACGAAGCCTGTTAAATTCCTTATCCTTATTAATTAGAACTATTGTCATAAAATTTCCTAACCTTTTCTGAATAATAAAATTTCTTTACTTTTTCCTGTTCTGTGTAAATTATGGTCAAAACTTGTTTAGAAGTTTAAATAAGTCTATTGTGTGACAATAAAATAAAAAAATAAAAAAAAAGCAGGAGAAACCCACATGCCAACATAAAACAAAATTATTTTACTCAATTACAGGAAATTCATTATGCTTTCTTGGTACTTTAAAATTGAAACGAAGTTAAAATCTTAAATATCGGAAAATACATTAAGTAAACATATAAAATTTGAAACAATAAACTTTTGGTAACTATCATTTAATTGCACAATTTCAATTTTCATTTTTTTAAAGGATCTAAATGTCACTTTTATTTCATCTTATAAAATATACGTATATTGATTTTTTTAAAACAATAATTAAATGGGTGAATTTTTCAAGAAATTTAACTGAAAACCAAAAATTTTTTTAAAGAGGAATTGTAACTTAAAACATACATATAATTTTGTTAAAAAAAATTAGCTTTCTATCACAACTTTTTTGTATCAGGCTTTAATCTAAAAAGACTTAAAGATGTTTTTTAAAGTTTTTTTTTTTTTTTTTTTTTTGCCGGGGAAAAAAAGCCTCATTTTGAATGCCTCCAAAGCAATAACTTTTAACTTGTTTTGCAATATTTTACAGAAAAGAATTTTGTGGGCTGTAAAGAGTATAAAGGGGTTAAATATAGCAATATATTCATAATTAGTAAAGAGGGAGCTAGTTCTAGATAGACAAAATTTAACCCAGCATTTTTGAAAACCTTATAAAACATTATAAGATATAAAAATAGTATATTAATCACAAAAAACTGTTATTTCAGATAGAGCCTTTCAAGAACAGCCATAAGTAAAAAATATCTTTAAAAAAAACTTGGGAAATTTTGATGTTTTTAAAAATTTCTAATTCCCCAGAAATTAAATATGAGGCACATACCTTGTAAAAGCAAAGTTCCAAATATAAACATAAATTTAATCAACATTTTATTATAAGAAGACATAAAATATTAATTTGTCTTCAAATAGAATGGTAAATAACAGAAGAAAATACAGCTTTTAGTCTTTTAAAATGACTGAGAAATTTTAATTTAAGAATTTTGTAAGTAATTAATAGAGACGATATGCAACTTTCATTATTCATTTTGTTCTCTATTCAGAGTTACTTTATATAAGCGTTTGGTATTGTTTGAAACAACTTTAAATTTTAAATCATTGTATATAACTAAATGCTAGAAGGAAATAAAATAATCACAGGACTGTCAGTAAAACCTACTTTTCAAATCCCTTACCATTATTATAATATTAAAATTATTCATTTATATATAGCAGATAAATACAAATGAAAGTAAACAAGGACTAACAACAACAAGTTTTTTTTAACATTAATTAGTGGCTCTTGGGTATTAACCTTATTCAATGCAAACATTATGAAAATAAACTTTTTTTTCCATCAAAAATAATTCAATCAAGACACAGGTTGAACATTTTTCAGATTTTATGATCCATTATATGCAAACAAAAAAATAATTTGCATGCCAAACATTGAACTACTTAGTTAATTGCATGCACGTCTTTCATTTAAGCATGGATAAAGATAACAGCAGAAAAATATGCAAAAGGGAAAAGTCATTAAAAATAGCATAAAAATGGAACATTATAACATTTCACTATATTAGATTGCTGAATTAATATTATGTATACTTCTTTAACCAACACAACAATTATTTGTCACCCTTGGTTGTATCAAGAAACTAATTCCATCTTGAGCTTTTTGATGCCAGTACTCTTCATTGCTCAGTCACTTTTCCCCACCACTATTACAAGATCTGCCTTTTCCTCTCAGGCTTGTGGGAAGTTATTTTTTAAATTGTGTTATTGTTGTTAGATCTATAGATATGAACAAGTCACTTCATCTGCTGGATTTCAATTACCTAGATCAGTTGTTTTCAACTGGCGGCTCACGGGCCTCAAGTTGTCATTTTTTTGCGGATAATTTTCGTAGAAAATCTATATGGGCTATATGGGAAAATCTATACATTTAAGTTTTATGTCTTAGCAATTTGATATCTGTTTCACATTAATGTTTAATTCATAGGTGCACATTATAGTTCTTGTAGACAAAAATTCTTAATATGCAATTAAATATTTTTAAAAATCTACTTATTTTAATTTGTAATTCAATACTTTTGTTTAGTACAACATAATAAAAATCTGACAGTAATATTTAATGTTCCTTCAAACATAAAAGTCCTATATAAAATTTCGATGAAGTTGCGGCCTGCCATTTGACTGGTGTTTTTAATTGCCGCCCCCGGCCTCATGTAAGTTAGAAACCCCCTTTGAAGGTCTTTCACTAACAAACAAGGAATTTATTATCTTCCACACTCACAGATTCAGAAGACAATGAACTTACTTTCGAATGAATTTCTATTTTTAAAGAAAACAAATTAAATGGAAATACTTACATATCCAAATTTCTATTTTATTCCAATAATCAATTTCTCACTAAATAATTTACAATAGAATTTGCTCTTAAGATTATTCAAAATGTCTTAGCATCTTCATCATTGTTGCCCCCTTTTATTTCAGCTGCAATTTCGAAAAGAGAGCTGTTATCAAATTTTAATCATCAACAAAGTTGTTTTAAACAAAGTTAACGAGTCCACCAGAGAGAATATTCTATTCTTCTTTGCTAATGTCACGGACGTCTAGAAATTGAATACTGCTTTCTTAAAACTGTATTTAATGCACTTGCTTATGAATTCAGCGTTCATACAGAGATCAGAAGAAGAAATCTAAGGAGTATCCAAGGAGTCCGAAATTTTAAGGACTTATCAAAAATTTAAAAACTTTGTGTAAAAAATAGCTAGACAGTTTTTTTTTAATTAAAAAGAAGTTATTATAAGGAACTTGCAAAAATGTATATTTTGCATATTTTTCCCTAGCCCTCTTGAAATAAATTTTGACTTTGTCAAACTTCATCAAGAAAAATAAATAAAGTTATCACTTTCATGCATAAATTACATTGTCCAGTTTTAAATATTTTAATAAATCTTGTTTAAGTACAAATGTTAAAGATTAACATAAAACCCTACCAATCTTATATTTTTAAATTTGAATACATGAGAAAATCTAAGGCATTTTATACAAAAAAAAAAATCACAGTAAATTATTAATTAAATTTACTTGTAACATGTAAAATTGAAATTATTTGCTGTTATTTTCTTCTTCTACCTCTTGCAATTCAATTGTTTTTTCTTTTTAAATTTTTCTTAAACTATTAGATTTTGACAGCTAAGTCATATAACTTAGTTTCCCTGCTTGGACAGCAAATTCATGAGCGAACTTAGTAAGTTCATCTATGCAACACAATAATCTAAGGAGTTTCTAAGGACTAATTTGGAAATCTAAGTAGTTCAAAGTACTCCTTGGAGACTCTTTTATTTCCAAGGAGTATAAGGAGCCCGTACGCACCCTGCTTATGATGCTTCGCCATTACGAGCACAACATGTAAATTGCATCAAGGACTTTTATGTGCTTCAGTTTGTCCTTTGTCAGAAGATTCATTTTCACAGCGACCAAAAATTAATAGTTTGTCTAAAGTGAAGAACTCCCCTACCATTCGTCTGAATCCATGGAGGTGAGTATGGTAAAGAGATTACTATTTCAAGTAGGGGTGTGGGGTCACTGTTAAGGACAGGTTTTGGTTCGGGTCAGCGAGTGAAAGGGATCTCTTTTTTGTGTAAGCCCTAGAGCGAAGAGAAACTACCCTTCCTGAAATGCGCTAGTCTTGTTTCCATAGCAGCAGATGGCTCAGAATTTGCGGCGGGGGAGTTCTTACCATAGACAAACTATACATATTCAAGTTTCTCTACAATGTTTTTTCACAGAATGAATGATGGTCATATCCAAAGGTTGAATTTTGCTTAGGCAGTTTGAAGGGGAAAAATAACTTTTGTGTTTATGAAAATAGGCAGATCTGCTGGCTGGGCAGAATCTACAGTACACATTAAATGCATTAGTTTATAAAAGGAAACTTCAGTAATATAAAAACACATCAAATAATCGTGATGCAAAATTTTCTACTTTACAAAGTTAGCATCATTTGATCAGAAGAATTTACCAAGAATAGAAGTTGCAATGTAAACTTACATCTTCTATGATAAAGAAATCATCTCCTGGTTGTCCTTGTTCTACAATAATGTCACCATCATTGAACTGCATTGGTTCCAATGCATCTGCAACTGTGAGCCTTTCCCATTCATCCAAGCTTTCTGTGAGAAAAGAAAATTGATTAGAGGAAAAAGATAGTTAAAATTAAGTTCTATCTGCTAATATTGCATTAAAATTACAGAAATTATATATTATATTTGAAAAGCATAATCCTTTTCTACAATATCATAATTTTCCGGGATCCTAAAGAATAGATGAAATAAATTTTTTAAAAAAAATAATCAATCCAAATTTCAATAGCTTTATGAAAATTTTTCAACATTGATATTTTTGAAATTTAAATTTAGTAGAAACGGAAAGAAATTTAAACTTTATTAGAGGAAGTTTTTTTCATTTAAGCACCAAGATTTTTTTTTAAAACTAAAACTTTGAAACACAATTTAGCATTAGAATTTTTAGCACCAAATTACTCACAACTATTTATTTTTCTCACAAAGAAAAGCTACTACTTACAAAAAATAACTATTTACTTAACAGGATTAATATTTTATAGAGTTTGTCTACTTAATACTACTTAGTCGGGTCCACACCAGTAATGAAAATTTAGTGGCCTAATAGGAAAATCTAGCTATTTAGTTAGAAGTCCAAAAACTTAATATGGTACACAAACTTGAGAAAAAAAAAAAAATCGAATTTCACAATTACATAATTTATTTTATGGTACACATCAAAAATAATTAATCACCATAAAATTAATTAGGTTCATTGGCCCACAATGATTGAAGCATTTAGTAAAAATAAGTGTAAAAAACTTAAAATCAGGGTGCATAGCCAAATTATTCACACAAAGAAAAGAAAAAAAAAGAAAAAGCACTTTTCAAAGTACTCAAAAAATATTTTTAAGAATGTTAAAAAAATATAATTAGGCAGGGTTGGAAAGTTTTCGACAATTGAAGTTTTTTTATCTTGTTTTAACAGTCATATAAAATTAAAACTTTTGGCATTGTTCTCGACAATTGTCAAAAATTATGAAATTTTGAATCAATGTAAAACAAATGGCGTTTTCATACGCTACGGACTGAATATACGCCGAAATAGATTGGGGTTGAATTAATTCTGAAAACGATGAATGAGAACTATGTCAATCTGCATATTTCGAAGCGAAAATCAACATGGTAAAGGAAAAATCTCATTTTGAAAAAGGCAAAAATTAAGCACTTTTCAAAAACACCCAATGAAAAAAACATTTTTTGCTTTAAAAAAATAAAAACAAGCACCTTTAAGCACTTTTTAAAAATGCACCCTGTAAAATATTATCCTTAAATAGATTTAACATAGAGATTAAAATGCCAAGAGCAAATAAATGAGGAAAACAGAGAAAGTAAGAGCTAGCAAAGTATTATATTATCTAAAAAGTATAAAATTTTAAATAAAGTTAACTCTAAAAGAGGAAAAGATATTATTTTTTGGGTGTCAATACTACTACTTAGTATATAATAATGTAATTGCAGATACGGTACTGTATTTCCCCAGTGGGATTATACTTAATTTATTTTGAGAGGGAGGAAATTTAAAATTCAGTCCTCAATATAAAAAATAATTTCCAAAAATATTTTTTTATGTCCTCACCTTATAAGTCTTATACACCTCAAGCAAGGTTCAGCATAATCAATTTAAAAATAACATCAAATTACACAGGTATTATAATAAATAAAAGATAGAATTCGATATGTATTTTCGAGGTTATTAAAATACAAAGTCTCTTCTTTTTAAACTGTTTAATCAAATTTTAGTTTTCAGAAAATGAACATAAGATAAAATATAAAAATGTCGATTTAGTATATCCATTTAAACATTAATAACAAAATGTCTAATTTGTTACTTCAGATGATCAGTAACGTATTTTGCACTTAATAAAATCTATAGTAGTACAATATTTTACAGCTGACAAATTAAGACTTACCAAGCTTGATTTTCTTTAAAATAGAAAATAAATCCCAATAAACCAGGCTTTAAATTTTGAGAATATGATTCAATATGGGTAATTTAAGGGTTGTATCATGTATACACAAATTGCAATATGTTGATGAGAATCGAAATTTAATGAAACACTATGAAATATTCAGAGATTGGTATATTACACATCACAACGTGTAAATAAATTTTTTTTTTAAATGAATTGCATGTGTGTTTTGTAAATCGAAAAATATTAACAGTAAATTACATCATTTAAAGTAAATCAGATGTGTGATACATAAATCCCTTTAACACAAACATAATGCATGATTAGCTTATCATTTTAAAGCGAATTCACAATACATAATTTGGTAATCATTATAATACAAATCGCAATTTGTGATTCAATAAATTATTTTAATGAAAACCACAAATGGTAATTCTTAAATTTGTCTTATCCTCGATGAATGATTTGAAAATCACTTAAATACTTATCATATTGTATGAATCAAAAACCACCTTAATCCAGATCAAGGTATTAGATTTATGATTTGAGGAATCAACATATGAGCTATAGAAATTAAATGTAAAAATCTGAACACAAAAGAAATAATCCTTAGTAAAAAAAAATTAAAAGATTTGTATACAATTATATAATGTGATAAGAAAATAAAGCAAATGAAAAATTAGTGAAATAGTACAATGCATTGAAATTTTAATATGCAGGATGTTTTAAAAATTGAATTGAAAAGTAAGAAAGAATAATTCATAATTAAAAACATAATTTCAGATCTCACTTTATTTTAATTAAGAAATTACAGCAAATGCACATTTATGAGTAGAGAAAATAAACAGCTGTTTCATAACAAAAATTAGATTAGAATAAGCTATAAACAAAGATTATTGACATTCAATGTTAACTCACTTACCCAACACAGATACTTTACTGAGAAATTCTTGGTACATTTTCCTCTTCCGTATTGTACTTCCCTAAAAAAATATGCACAATTAATATACATCTGAACAGATTTACTGACTATAATTACTTTTGCATTAAAGTAAAGAATTTCCATTTACCATCAAAATTCTTCTGTACGTATCTCTATCAATAGCCCATAATTTGCAATCAATTTTAGCCTAAAATAATAAAGGAAAAAATATTTTATTATTAAGCTTTCGCTACTTACTTAAATTAAATCATGAATTTCATTATTTGATCAGAGTTATAAAAAATAAAAAAAGCAAGTTAGGGAATAAATACATATGTATGATCCATTCAATAAATATAATCAATCTGATTGTTGTGTAATTGTTGCAGAAAAATATATCTAATTGTAGCAAACATTATTAAATAAATCCCCTTAAATGAATTGAATTACAAAATTAAATGATAAAAGTTAAATAAATAAAAATGTAATTTTGAACCCTTTGGTTCAAACCAGACAACCTTTGATTGACATATAGAGAATTTGCTGCTAGCTTGATGGTTTTGTAAGTGAAGTCTTAACTAAATATAATAAGTCAAAAATATGACATTTTGGTAAGAACAACATATAAAGGTGCATAAGATTTTTTTTCTAATTTCGATAACAAAATGGTAATTAGTAAAGCAATAAATTGTTGGCCTCTTTTTTTTCTTGACCGAACTCAACTGGGTGTAGACTATAGAGCAGTGTTTCCCAACCTTTTTTGCGCCATGCCCCACCAAAGTCATTCTAAAATTCTTATGCCCCCCTAAGTAACATATACATAATTTTTAATATTAAAAAATTTAATTGTTCACTTAAGAAACTTAAATGATAGGTTTTAGGAAGAAAGCACTAGGAAATTGTTAACGAACCACAGTAAGAAAATTTTCAAAACATATAATGAAAAACTAAAATTCAAATAGTTTTAATAAAGATTTTTCTATAATAATTTAATATTTTAATTTAGTGAGATCCTTGCTGCACAGAGATTTTATGTTAGGTTCCAATTTGGTTAGCTTCAGTCTCAAGTATCCCCGTTGTGTTATATCCAGACGATTTCTTTTTTTAGCAGTAAATCATTTACAGCACTAAATCCAAATTCAGCTAAATATGAAGATGGAAACGGTAGCAATAGTTTTCTTGCACATTTGGTTGAATTTGGGTATTTGATTTCTGTTTCCTCACAAAGCCATGCCATCACTCCCTTTATATTAAATAAAGTTTTAACTGACTCATCATTTTGCATTTCTGCGAGTTCTTCTTGATACTGCATATTTGATATATCAGACAAATCCACTAACTTTGGCTGCATCATCCATGTTGGAAAATCAATTTGTTTTAAATCAGAGAATCTTTCTTTTAAATCAGCCGATAGAATTTTCAGATGATCGACAATAGCAAGTAAAGCGGTATTATTTACTTCACATTTTTGGAGCCAATGAAACTGTTCTAAGTTTTTGTTGTTAATATATATCTGACATAACTCAATAAGGGTAATGAAACCAAATATCTTCGCTTTTGCATCAACAAGAGTTTTATTTGTTCCTTGAAGATGCTTATTTAATATATTTAGTTTTTCAAAGATATCGGCTGAATAACTCACAAATGCTTTATCATTGACTGTTAGCAGATACTTCATTTTAGGTTTGTCACTTAAAAAATCACTAAGAATATCAAACAGTTCCATAAATCTTTTCAAGCAGTTCCCTTTAGAGAGCCATCTTACTTCAGCGTGAAGTAAAAGTCTCACATGGTCTGCATTTTGTTCTTCACTAAATAGCTTGAAGAGAAGCTCACATTTGGCATTAGCTTTAATATCATTGATGCACTTTATTACTGAATGTAGTACTTCATTTAGAACAGGCAAGATCTTTCTAGCTACCAAGTTTTCCCTATGAAAAACACAATGCACGAGAATCATTTCTGGATTCTCATCTTCATAAATTTTAAGCAGCCATTTTCTTAGGAGCACCATCTGCAGCACAAGATGTTATGTATTTATTGGTATATTATTGACATCTATGTACTTTTTTAGCTTATTATATATAACGTTGGAGGTAGTGGTGCTTTCTAATCTTTTACAGAACAACATTTCTTCCGCAAAATGCCCTTTATCAATATATCTTACGTAAGTCATCAATACTGCCACACTGTCTATCAAAGTTGATTCATCCATTTGTACTGAGAATTTTCTTCTTTTCAACATGTTGTTTTTCAATATCTTCACTCATTTCGTCTATTCTTCTGCTAACAGTATTGTTACTGAGTGGTATTCTTCTGCTAACAGTATTGTTACTGACTTTCAAGAACCGTTTTAATAGATGCTAATATTGATGGTTTTTTTAAATTCTCTCCTGCCGTATGATTTTTTCCAGATTTAGCGATGAATAAAAAAATTTGATAACTAGCCTCAAGAATAAGATTATGAGTTGAAGTGTGAGCAGTAAATAGAGACTTTACTGTTGTCCTCTTTTCAAAATTTTTCTTTAAAATATAAAAGTCCACGTGGAGTCGGCTGCAGAGAGGTTAACTTGACGACGCCAAAAACCCATTTGATATTCTGGTCTAGTCAAAAGAATTTATAATATTTATTGGCTGCAATTATTTAAGAATTTGATTTTTTCTTTCAATTTTAGCACCGAAATCTAGCATTGCATTTAAATGGCCCGGAGCAAAAGGGTTAAACTCGTGTCGAGTCCATTTTCGAATTGCCCCCCTTAACAATCAAATTGCCCCCCAGTGGGGCGTGGGCCCCACGTTGGGAAACACTGCTATAGAGGTTAGAATAAGGAGTCAGTTAACGTATCATGGATGAAACCTCCCCTTACTAAATCTGCCATATTGATTTGACCTAAGCCCTCAGTCAAACATATTTAAGCTGTCATAACTTAAAGACATTATTTGCTATATTTATTTAGAATACATATGAAAAGATAAAAGTTACTACTATAAAAATTTTATTGCTGAACAATCAGATTGCCAATTTTTAAGTATAACAATTCCTTTAAAAAAAGAGGATTATTTCTTATTTAATATTTATCTGATTAAATATAGTAAACAACATAGTATTCATCATTCTTTTCATATCACTAATTACTTTTATAATATTGTACTTCCAGGTGCGTAGCCAGTTTGATTCGACAGTTTTTTTTCTTCTTTTTACTGAGAGGCTCAAAGAAAGACTAATAAGTTTGAATCCCAAAATTTCGGGGAGGGGGGGTGTCGGGACAACCCCCCCCCCGAAATTTTGGGATTCAAACTTATTAGTCTTTCTTTGAGCCTCTCAGTAAAAAGAAGAAAAAAAACTGTCGAATCAAACTTTTTCCCAGTACATCACCTTCGCTAGTGCGTCATCTTCACTTGACCTTGTGGCTCATCTTTCCTTCGGTTTAGACTCCCCCCCCCCAAATCAATTTTTTTTTTTAGCATATTAATTTATGCAATTTCTGAATCTACGCAGATTTCATTGACATCGAAAACCTCATGGGAGAAATGGAAGTATGGGCATCAAAGTGAAACCTGCGTGAACCCCTTAGTAGACCAGATACGGCACTTTCAGCAATGGAAGAATGTGACAGTATCTTTTTCCCAAACATTTATTGCTTGTTATCAATATTGACTACATTGCCAATCACCACAGCAACTGCAGAAAGAACTTTTTCTACTCTCCATTCCACTCGGCAACGACATTATAAACATAAGTGCAATATTATTAGAGCAAATTTAAAAAATCTAATTTCATCACACATATAAAAGCATAAATGTATTACCTTAACAGTAGCAGCCCTGGGTGTTCCATAAATTAAAGCAAGCTCACCAAAGCTTCCACCTTCCCCAATAGTGGTAACCAGCACATTATTTACAAATATCTGCAAAATTAAAGAAATCAATTCAATTAAAACACTGATTCTATAAGTCACCAATGGCGATAAGATAAATATTCAATAAAATCTTACAACCAGAGAGTAAAACAAATAAAGAACATCAAGAATTAAACAATCTATATTTCTAACAAAATTAGTTACCATTCAATGGATAAATTACGTAATGTTATCGATAACATTAAAAGTGTATGTTAATTTCAGTTACTGTTTAAAGTGGATTAGAATAAATAACTATCAATACGATACAATGAAGGCTTGTCTGCACAAAATTATTTTTTTAGTGTTTTACATTTTAAGCAGGTCCACTTGAAAAAATTCTTTATTTATTAGTTGCTAAAGCCAGCTTTCAGCTACCATTAATTTTTTAGCTGCAATTATAAATTTGTTTGAGGTAAAATTAAACATTTAATTCACATAAGTTAAATTTTTATTAGTAAGGATATAAGCTTTAGTTTATTTATCTTAAGATTAACAAACAGAATAAGTTGACAGCAAAACATGCAACATAAAAGAAACACAAGATAGTAAAAAGTAACAAAAATTAAAAAATCTTAGAATAAAATTGTATATTTCCAAACATAAGCCCATCGTATAAGCCAAAGAGTATGTCCTTTAATTTGAAATTCACTCAAAATTCAAAACCCGTATATAAAATAATGTTTAAAAAAAAAAAGGTAAGGCAAGCTACACTTGAAAATAAAAACGTGCCCTCTTTCTAGTAATAATGGTAGTACAATAGGAAAAGGAAGCATGGAACTTCCGAATTTGTAAATGTATTTCTGTTAGCGATGTCTCCCTGGAATTTTTCAAAATTAGTGGATCTAATTATAAGCCAACCCCCTTTAGCTTTTGAAATTCTCGGCTATATTCGGAAATATATGGTAATATATATTTCAAAAGATAAAAGCTTTAAATTATAAACATACATCAACTTCGCCTTGATCTATGACATAGAAATTATCACCCTGATCTCCTTGCATAATAATCAGTTCATTAGCTGAATGTACAACTGGAAACATCGCATCGAAAATGTCACTGAAAATTTAAAAAAAAAAAAACATAAGTCAGGCATTACAATTATTCTAACATAGTTTTTATACAAACTCAATTATTAATGTTTTAATTACTAACTATTTTTATAAATAAAATCTCAAACAAAAATTAGATCTGATAAAAGCTTAAAAATTATACCTTTGAGTACTTTGGTAAGGAATACATCAAAATGGAAAACTACTTGTTTAAGTAATTATAAAAAATTAGATACACGAGTTCTTCATAACCAAAAATTTTTATTCTTTCTCATCCTGATTAAGATATTGATCATCAAAAATTCTTATAATTTAGGCATATCAAAACTAAACATTTAGGTAGAAAATAAAGAGAAAGAAGGATCATATGAAACAAATTTTTTTTGATTAGATTGATAGCTAAAATATTTGTATTTGCATCTTAACTTAACTTTACAATAGATTTATGGACATACATTATTTTCCTACATGAGGGTGCTTCATTGTGACAATGTCGAAAATAGTGGATATTTATTAATTATTAGAATATTAAACACTGTGCTAATTTCGAAAATATCACCTTACTGATACTTTGAAAAGAATTAGGAAAGTGATAGAATATTTGATAACAGACATTTTTTATGTTAAAACATTATCAAAAGTAATATAATACAGCAAATACATGATAAAACAATATCCGATTAGGAAAAAATTAAGAAAAATACGAATACCACATGAACTAAAATTTCACAAAAGGAGAGAAATTTTTTTAAAAAAGAAAAACATGATTGATAATTTATTATATTGTTCTTGAGATTGAAAAGAATTCATGTTTAGTTTTTCTTCATTTGAGGGAAGATTAAGATGCTTTAATTTACATATACAAAAAAAATGTTAAATAAAGGAATGACTAATTATAATAGAAAATGTACTTACTTTTAAAGACACAAAAATGTTTTAAAGTGCGATTATTAATGGAATGCAAAAAATAAAACTAATTTGAATTTGTCACTATAAATGAAGTGTTAGTATGGATGTCATATTGAAAATTAAAGTAATAATACAACTAAAGAAAGCTAACAGGGTTTGATTTATTTGTCATAATAATGAAAGGATTTTAAAAGAGCAAAGACTATATAAAGTTTATAATGCTTATATCTAAATAACTTTAAACTAGTGTAGGATAGAAATTTTTTCTTTTATTTAAATCTACTAGGAGCACCTTACACAGTGTTTTTTTTTTGTCATTTTTCGAACTTATTTTTGCTGTTCAATGTCATTAAAGGTGAATTCCAGTGGTAACGGAATGACAGTTTATACAACAAAATCAATGTATTTTTGACCGAAATCAAAATTGATACACTTATTTTTAATGATTAATATTTAGACTTTTATATTCTTCATAGCTAATTACTAAAAATGTCAAACCTAGGAATTTTTAGTTCATATCTTCTTTTAAAATTCAAATTTAAAAAATGGTAACAATAGGACATTTTTTCAACATGATCATCACATCATCATATTTCTCATAAAAATTTAGCTAAGCTATCGAAGGAAAAATAAGAATATGTAGAGAAGGGTTTGATTATTACAATTTGACCTGATGTCTGAAAAATAATTAAATTAACCATAGAAAAAGGTACTTGTTAATTAACTTGTAATGTTGTAACGGAAGGACAGTAATGTAAGGACAGAAAAATATAAAATGATAAAGGATCATCTGCTGTAGTTTCAGGATTCTCTCATTTCTGCATAATTTGATCAGAGTCTCCAGCATTTATCTTCTTTCTCTGGAAACTTAATATCCTTCCTTCATTACCATGCTCTCTCAAACAGAATATTTCTATATGAAGTATTTGCCCAACATAGTTATTTTTTTATCTGTTTCTTTTCCCTTCTACCTATAATTAATACATCCTTCGGCATATTCTCATAACTTGGCGTATTTGATTCTTCTATACCTTCACGTGTAACCAGGGTTGGGTTTTTGCCGTCAAAAACTGGTTTTTGACATGACAGTGGTAAAAACCGTGTTTTTACCGGTAAAAACCGTCAAAAACCTACTGTTTTCTTTCATTTATGGCATTTAGCGGACAATATATTATTTTCACATAATTGCCTTTATAAATGAATGTTGTAAATGATTCTATTGATTTTGCAACTATATACAAGTATTCTTATAGAAGGATATACATTCATATAGAAATATTGTTATATACTTATTGAAAATAGTGATACTTTTATCATTATAGCTTGATTTGCAAAGGATTCAAAATTTTGCATTTATTAATTGTTAGAAATAAACAAACAAACAAAAAAGCTTGTAACTATTAATAAATTCAAGAACTAAAAAGAAGAATTTAAAATTTGGCACTTCTTAAATATTAGAAATAAGCTGAACAAAACTTTCAAAACTTGCAACTACTAACAAACTCTAAGTCAAGAATGACTTGACATTCTTCAGTAATGTAATATGCCAAACAAAATGATGCTTGGAAATGTTGAAAATTTTGTTTAGTATCCTAATATTTTACTTCAAATAGTATGTTTTGATATAATCATGTTGGGAAAATGCAAGAATCTGTTATATTAATCTATAAGAATGTGTTACATAATATCTTAAATATCTTTTAACAACTTTTTTTCTAATTTTATTGCCCAAAAATGAATTAATTTTAAATTATAAGCAGTTAAACTCAAATAAAAATACAGTTTTACCAAAACTATGGGTTTTTGACATGACGGTAAAAACCATGGTATAAACCGGTAAAAACCGTCATGCGTCAAAAACTTGCCAACCCTGCGTGTAACATCACAATAATTTGCCTGTTTTCTTTAAAGTGAAATCTCTTCTGATTAGAAGAAGATTTTTTTCACTATATTTAAAAACAGAATTTCTTACAGATTTCAAATAGTGAGTGTTGTGTGTGTAAGAAAGAGATTGGGTATTATTCCATCTTTCTGTAAGATCTTAGTTGGCTTTATTTATCTCTACTTTTGAAATAAATGCCACTTTGATATTGTGGGTATTTTCTGCTGCTATGTTCGCAAATTCTTCTGCAGTTGTGACCAACCTTTCAGCCAAGGTGATTTCTCACACTATACATTTTATAATTCTACCAATGCCATTCCTTTCCTATAGCTTGCGGCAAAAAGTTCTAAGTTGACATTAAACCATATTGTTCTAAGATGAATGTTAAATTAGTGAACAGGTATTTTTGTGAAAATTGGCTTGCGGCCTTATCACTAAAAAATGATGTTTTCTAATTGAAGAAATGCAAACGACAAGTCACCAATTAAAGCATCAAGGAAGGCAAAAACAGCTACATTTCCGAGATCTATTTCATCATTTAAACGCATATTCAGCCCTCTTTTCTTCTCTCTTGTCCCGACAAATGTAACTGGTGAAAATCGTCACTTGATGATGATGCCAATGAGCAAAATTTTCTACCTGTATAACCAAAGATTTTTCTTTACTTTCTTCAAAGTATTTATGTTGCCTTTTGATGTAAGTGTGCCTTTAATAGGATGAAAGCATTCCTTAATTGAATCTTTATATCCTTCTTTTTTTCGTTTCAGATTTTTGATTTTCTGTGACCCATTGTTCCCATCTTAAGCATGTTAAATTTTTCTAATGAACATCTAGTTATTTTGTATCAGAATGATTTTCACAAACTTAGTAATTTCTGAACATACAGTTTTAATTTGAATACTGTCTCAAAATTTTTTTGTTTCACTAGAAAAATTCTAAAAGTTCAAATCTAAATCAGTTTATAGATAAATGTCCTTCTGTTACCATGTTTTGTCTCTTTCTGATACCATATTTTCTGTCCTTTCATTTACATTAAAAAACGACTAAAATAAAAACCCAATAAAATTTAATCTTTCTTATTTATTCGAAAAATACTTCTGCTTTGTATGTAAAAAAAAAAATAAAAAATTCTAAACCTAATACTTTCTAAGTAAGAAGTTGAGATGTAGTATTTTCGTAACGGAAGGGCAATCCTTTTGTCTCTAAATTATAAGCCTGTTTCATGGTTAAATTTTTTTTAAAAATTACTTGAAAGTTTAATTAGACATTTAAAAGAAAAGTAAACCAATACATTGTATGAGGGAAATAAATTTATTCAAATGACAGTAACAAAATAGAGATTTTCAGCATTGTAAAATTATAAAGAGAGAAGTGACTTTGCCCCTGATTTTCTGAAAAATAATTAGGAAAAAATATGCTAAAATTAAAGAAATTCAGATATTTCTGAAGAAAATGATGTATGGCAAGTGACCAAATGTCAATTTTAAAAATTTAAGTGTTGTTTCCTCCCGGAATTCACCCAAAAAGTAAAGCAAAACTATGAGATCAAATTTAAAAGCCGATAATCTTATTTTCCTAAATTGAGCAACATTAAGCACTCCTTTTTTATAGATAATTATTGCAGTTTACATGTTTATTTAATTTATGGAATGGATGTAGTTCAAATAATTTAAAATAAATAAAACTCATAGTTTAACATAATTAAATAAATTCTAACGTATTTGAAAGATTCTAGAAATCTTTTTCATACCAAGTATTTAGGCAGAATACGGGGAACAAATGGTTTTAAACACATTTACATCAATATCATTTTAACAACATCATTATAACAAAAATATGAAGAAATATCAATATTAACAAGTAAAATTTATAATTATTGCCTTGTTACAAAATATGCAATAGCAGGAAGAAAATGAAACTTAAAATGAGTTTACCTTCTTTCTGAATCATCTAAATGAGCAAATAAGACATTTTTTTCAATAGCTTTTGAAAGAGCTGTCATCGTTTTATAGTCCTTTGGGACAACCTAAGAAGGAAATAAAACACAAATGCATGTAAATAAAAAAAATAAATGCAAGTTCATCTTTATATAAATTTAAACACAACATAATCAGGAGTCTGTCTAGGTTTTTCTGAGAAAGACCTATTTTGTGAAAATTTAAACACAATTTGAACAATATGAAAAAATCAACACAAAATATAGTAAAAATATGGATTTATCGTTTCTTACGAGACTGGAAAATAAAATTTTAAGAAAAAGTATTTTTTGAAACGATTGTTTTTCCTAAAGTTGAATTTGTGAAGGTACCGCTAAACGGTAGTAAATTCGGCTTGGACAGACCCTTGATAATTAACAATAAAATGAGAAAGTGATTAGGTGGGATACAATTTTAAAGAAAAGAGGTCATAAAATTTATGTTTATATACAGAAGGGTGATATTAAAATGAAAATGTTTGATGAAGCACTAATAGAATCAAATACAGTAAAAGAGTTGTAGTATCACCCTCATTTTTTTTGTAGTCATTGTCAAAAAACATTTTTATTTTATTTTACCTAGTTCATAATTATTACAAATAATAGAAATCAATATTTAAGGTCCCAACTCAATTAAGTAATTCAAACTAGTAAAAAACAAACTACCACATAGAATTATTCATGTTATATTTCACATTGTATAAAATATTCTTTTTTGCAGCTTTGGATCTAACTATAATAAGTAAAAATAGGGTCGTTAAATATAGGGTCTTTCACAACAAGGAATGCATAGAAAAAAGAATTAAGAGAAACTATCACCTACAAATTACTAACAAAATCATTTCTTTTTTAAATAAACTGCGACTTTTAATTTATTTTCATAAAGCCTGTTTAAGATTTGTTGATAATATTAGAGTAATTATACATTTTTAAAGAAGATGCCATAAGACAATGTGTGTGTACATATTTCAGAAAAAAGTAAAATAATAGTTTCAGCAGGCATATACCTTTTTAACGTAAGTTGTTGCATCTTCTTCTGAATATGTCTCAGCACTGACAGCTCCACGCCGGATACGTTGTGTAGGTGCCATATTTGGAGTAGCACAGATGTCATCTTCATGTTCATCACAGGGACTAGTAGCATTTAAATTTTTTTGCTGTTTAGCAGCTGCAGCAGCCTCCTGAAAATAAAATTTATTACCAATAACTCATTAATTAATGACATGACTTTTCAAGAAAAATGAACAACAAATTTGAACGCTAAAGATAACAAAGCTTTTAAAAAAGTTATATTTACAGTACAGAACCCGTTATCCGGAAATCAGAAAACCGGAAAACCAAAAAACCGGAACGAAATTCAATAAATTTTCCCGCAATTAAAAAAAAAAAAATTTTTTTTTCCTCATAGGATTTTAGGATTTTTCTTTCTTTTTTGAAAGATGTTTACCTTACCATCATTTCAGAAATAATCATTAGTGTATTACCTTATCGTTTTTTCTTATTTTTAAGATTATTTCCAAATATTTATTTTTTTTAGTTGGGTTTAACACTAAAAAAACAGCTTTCTGTAGCGATTCAGAAAACCGGAAAAATCAGTTATCCGGAATAGCAATAGTCCCGATCATTCCGGATAATCGGTTCTCTACTGTATTTTATTTAAGTAGGTTAAAATTTCGTTATTAAATTTATTTTTTTATTTATTTAAAAAATACATGAACTTGATAATTCACACACACACAGACAATCGATAACATATTGACTTTTAAGGAACTATTTATTTTCCAAATTTTTTTCTTTAATATTTTCAATTTGACAAAGATTTTAATTCAGCTTGATTTAGACTTTATACCAAGCATTACTACGATTTTTGAAATCATTAAAAGTCAAGACAGAATGGCCAAAAGGGTCAAAAAAAGTAAATATTTAATGAAATTTTTATTTGCATGCATAATTACATTATAATAAATATAAAAGCATCAATATGTTCCACATTGATAAGTAAATCCTAAATGCATCATTGATTGAGCATATCTATTTGTTGAACATTATGAAATTCATATTTCACACGGCAAAAGAAGAAAAGGTACTTATTGGTTATGTTTTTTTTTCTTTCCTGTAAAATTAAGAATTTTTATGTTGGGTTCAAGAATATAGCGAGTCCTGTTGTTTGTTTACAGAAAACTTTGACCTAACACCCATCTACGACCAAGGCATCTTGTTAAGTGAGGGCTTTGTCGAGTATTTAGACAAGGCTCTCGTATCGTCGGGTTTAGTTCTCTTTTCAGTTCACATTACACAACCAGGTCACAAAAATAAACTTTTATCATAAATTGTAGATACTAAGAATTGTTTTGAAAATATGGGACAACATCATTAATAAACAAACAAAGTCACTTAAGCCAGGTGCAAAGTCACCTAAGTGACTAGAAAAATTCTTGACTCCCTCAAAATATTCTAATATATTTTATAAAGAGGGAAAAAAATTTATTTCATCCTTGCAGAAATCAAATGACAGGTGGCTTTTTAGTGTTTCAATTCATAAGAAACATTATGGTTTTGATATCCATTCAATGTTTGTAACGGTAACAATTCTAGTGTTTGTTTCTTAGTTTTTTTTATTTATTAAATTACAGGAATTACAGTTGAAAATTTTATTTCACCAAAACTTTTACTGAATTTCATTTTTTAATTTATTACTTTAACTCAGTTATCGCAAAAAGGCACATGCATGACCCATTTAACTTAAATAGCCGAATATAACAACGAGAAGCTAGTCATTTATTTCACAGCAAATGCCCACACAGTCACAATAATACAAGATGCTGGATCATGAAAAATTTTCCCGCTTACTAAAATTTTACAATTTTTGACAATGATAAATCAATAGAATCAATGATAAATCAAACATCAATAGAATTACAGTATTTTTCAACATGATAGTAATTTCCAACAAATTTCCAGCTAAGATACTAACTTTTAATATCAATAAAGGAAATTTAACACAAACACAAGAAGAAATAGGGAAAAATAATGAGCTTAGAGAATCAAAGGAAGTAAGAACTAACTTGAAAAAGAAATAAAAATAAGTGTGACGGGAAATAAAAATAAAGAAATTATGTAAATGCAAAGTGTCATTAGAACGGGTACATTTTGAATATTTTTAATTAAATATATAATAAATGTTATCTAGAAAATATCTATGAAACATAGCCAAAAAAAAAATTTTTTTTTAAAAAATTGTATTTGCGTAATAACGTGTGAAATACTTTGAAAATTGTATGGAATGAAAAAAATTAACGACTCGTTCTCGGGATGTGTAATTCACCAGTAAAAAAAATAAAATAAAAACTAGTAAGTCATTAATCTGAGCTTATGAAGAATTTTTTTTTATATTTCTTATGTATTATTAACATTGAGAAAATAAAAATCATTTTTGAGCTGAAGATGTGTTTAGACATACAGTAACTTTTCATTTTAATTCTTTGTTAAATTTTTATTACTGAATAAATTACTAATAACATTTTTTTCCTAATCGTAAAATATTTACTTTATATGGATATCTTAAAAGACATTATTTTAAATAAAGACCACTTTTATTCAAAAAAAAAAAAAGATCCAAAAATTTGGAAACAATAACCAATATCTAATGGTATCCCTTTTTAGTAGTTCAGAACTTATGAGGAAGATTGTTCACACTAATTTCTTTGTAGACAATCTTATCCAAGTTCTAAGTTCCAGGCAATCTACATTAATGAAAATTCACAATACACCTTCAAAACAATGAAATTAATAATCAAGAGCAAAAAATATTACAATTTACAACAAGCTTATTTTTTAACATTCAATTATCTTACTTGCATCAATTTATAAACATAAAAGATTTGGCATATTTAAGAATAATTTAAGTTGTACTTTAGAGATTTAACACTTGTTTGAATTATAGCAATCCAATAATAACTACGAAATTTAATTTATATTCTGAGTTGTATACGAATATATAAAATGCACAGCAAATTTATGATTTTAACTTATTTATCCTTTTTACTAATTTTAAGACTCTAAAAAGGCAGAGTATATGTGAATACAATCAAATGAAAATAAAATAGTTATATTTTGATTAGATTTACAAATAAATATCATTTATATTGATCATTTTTAAAACATTTCCATAAATGACATGAAAAAATCTTCGAATTAAACTTGTTTATTAACTTCACTGTTTTGAAAGACTTCATACATGAAAACACACGCACACATCAAAAGAAAATAAAACAAATATGTTTCGATTAAAAATAAGCTTAATCATTAAATGATATTATTTACATCAATTTATAAATAGAAAGACTTGACAAGTTAAATATGATCCTCAAACGGTTAAGTGCGGCAAGTTATGTTTGTTTACATTCCAATTTAAAAGGAACGTCACTCATACCTTCTACACCTACCGATTCAATGAATTTGCATTCATTAAAAATTTCGCATTTCAAACCGAAATTGATATTACCTGATATAAAAAAGTATAGAATTTCACTTTATATTGACAGAATTAAAGTGAAATGCTTTTAAAATCCGAAAAAAATGAGATTTTTTGTCAAGTTTTACCTAAGCCTACTTTTACGGGGGAGCACATATTTCATATCTTACCCTTTCAAGTTTCTGAAAATATTCTCTTAGAAAAGAGACAGGATTTTCGGGCCTACGGACACATAACTGAACTATGCAATCTTTTAATAATTTTTGAATATTGTGTCGCTGTACATAAGCCTCGCATTCTCGCAAGCTCTGCTCTTCATCACCAACGTTAAAAGACGCCATCTTTTATGTTTTGCTTACCATAAGATCTGATTGACCGACTGCTTCGACCGGAATTGTGAACTCACAGATGACGTCAGGCGCTCTGTTATTTTCCCGTTCGTTCTCTTTCCCGTTCTCAATCTCCAGGAAAAGGGGACTTCATACAGGCTTTTTCCTTCCTTTTCTCTTTATTTTTCCGGATCGGTTTCTGGACTTCTCCACTTTTAACCAGCAATCAAGACTGTTCACTCACACAGCAAACCCCAAATGCGAATAGGCTATTTTCGTTGCTAACCTCGGAGGATATTTTTGTGAATTTTATATTTTGGAAGCCATCCAAACAGCAGTTGTAACATATTTTTGGAACAGAGGGGGTTTAATCTCTGTAATTTTCTCTTCTAACTTTCATTTCATCAGATTGCACGAGAATTCTATCTTTTATTGGAAATATCAGGAGATGAATTGTTTTTGTGACAGCCTGACAACCAAAAGTACTGCGTATGGTGTTCCCAAATAGAATTTGGAGAAAGAGTAATTGAAACAGACTTCCGAAAATAAATGGTTTCAAACATTGAAGTTTCAATACACACAATACCATCTCATCTGAGTAACTTTTGTTCAAAATCACAATCAAACTAACAAAAAGGGTCAATTTGTTCTTAATTTGAAAGCTTGATCTCGTTTATTGGCATTTTAACATTTTTCATAATACAATATAGCTCACACAGTTATAAAAATATCCCTCCTATTATAAAAGCTTTCTAAAAATAATCTTTTAGTCATCATGCAAAAATAACAGTTTTATGTTTGAACTTTAGAATCTGATAATTTGATAAAGAAGAAGTTTGTTGAAATTTTCGGAACAATTTTTTAAGGATTTTTATACCAATATTATATTATGGAAAATAAATTGATAAAAAATAAGTCCTCGTAAATTTATTTTTAAGAATTTTTATTCCAGCGTTATATCATAGAAAAATCACGCATGCATGTCACATTTTCTGTAAGGAATATCATAAAATAATTTTGCAGTTTTTACGTAATACGACAGTCTACACACATAACCTTTTAAGTAAAGGTATAAATTTGGAATTTATAAGTAATTAAATTTTGGGGATTTTTGCATTAAAGTATAGGTGAAGATGTAGGTAAGAGGGGAAGATAAGTTTTCGTATATCATTTGAAGCGGTTTTTCCAAGTTAGTGTTTTATCTATAAATTTTTTTCCTATTTTCTAAATAGATTTGATTAAAAAATAACAATATGACCACCCATCTTTGGTAGGACTAAAGTAATCAAAACCTGTTTGATTGCCGGGGGGGGGGGAAAGAGAGGAGGTTGTTTATTAGAAACATCTCCAAGTTTCACCAGTCAATCAAGCGAGTTTT